AAAATATTTCACAAGCTCACTGGTTTAGTTCTACTCAAGCCGGTTTTCAGAGCTTTTACAGAGCTTTACCTCCACGCAGTTGACAGCAGAAGTGTGGTGTAACTGCTTGTCATATGCAGTAATCTCTCTTCACTGGTTGGGTGACTGAAGTTCATCCGGAAGCTTTCACAATGCTGTCAAGGTTTTTGACATTGTTTCTGATGTGGATAAAAAATCTCTGGAGCACGTAGATTGAGGTAGATTTTTAGTGTGGATTTTAAAAATTTGTTGAAGCGGCAGTCGGAAGGGCAGGAAGTGACAAATGTAACTGCATTAAGCCTTGGTAAATTGTCTAATGTCAAGTAGAAATTTTCCTTGCTTTTTAAAAATATTTCTCTAGTTTAACAGCGTTATTTTTATCTGGTGGTCGGACAAAGTGATTTTTAAATTATATTGTATATTTGTATCAAGATAAACGCTTACAAGCTTCTCTGCTGGACTTAAACTGGCACAAATCTGCACAGAAAGAGGAAATGATTTGGAAAGGGCTGTAAACGTTTCATTATTGAGAGGAAATGCTGTACTTCTGAGTGTGTAACAAAATTGATGTGCTCACAAGCTCTGCTGTCACAGTCTACTGTCCCCTGTCCTCCCCTACAGCCAATGAGAGCCGCTTCACTCTGCTGCCCTTACAAATAGACCCCATTGATTGAATCTGATTCCTGTGGATAGAGCAGGATTATTGAGCGGCCTTCCCTGATTTCTCACACCCAGTGTGTGTGGAAACGTTCTCTCCGTGTCTACTTTTGTAGCTTAAATCAGAGGGACGTCTCCCTTGAGCTCCCCCAACCCCCATCTGATGACACACAGCCACACTTCCTTTATTTCCTTCCTCCCTTTCTCACCTGGAATAATATCAGCATTTTTTTGTACAAACATCCTGAGAATGTCACTAGCCTGAGAGGAAAAACTAGAGAAAGAGAGTTATAAACAAAAAAGGGAGGGAAAGAAAATCTGACCTGACCTCAATGAGAAATCTCCACACTACTGTGACTCTGAAGAGCAGCGTCATCCGCCTTTGCTGGAAGTCTGTGCTCCACTAACCCCTGTGTCACCAGAGACCTGTGGGGAGTTACTTTTAGTGACCAGAAGTACTGCAGCCTCATTAAATATCCTGCAGAATAAGAAAGAAACAAAGTCTTCGTTTGTGGGACGAGAGAAAATCGACTCAATCTGCTTTCACGGCCAGCACTGAGATGTTGTTATTTGGATTTAGAGCTGAGCCAACCGCACAAAGTCCTGCTTCAGCAGAAATGAGAGTGTGTTAGTTTATGGTGTTTTGGAGCTTTTTCGAGTCGTTTATCCTCTGCCTCACTCCTCTTAGAGGAATTAATAGGTCCGGCTGCCCTAGACCCTGATTTCCCTCCTTGTACAGACCCACTGCTTTAATCTTCTAAACAACGAGTTGCTTTTGTTTTTGCTTTTATGAGTATTTTTGGGTAATGGTTTTTCCCATTATAATGGTTTATGTAACAATGGCTGTGGTGATTACATTCTCTTTTTTCCCTCATTTCTTTTTTTCTGTTAGTAATCAAGTATACTAATGCAAAATAAGCACTTATAAAACTCTTGGATGAGAGTTAATTCAATGCCACGTTGGCACATGGCTTTCTTTAATTTCTGCTGTTTGTTCTATTTTTACTTTACGTCTCCACGTCTTTGCAATAGAATTGTGAACCTACACTGGTCTCACAGTTCAGTTACGATTATTATGCCTTCGATTCAGTTTGATGTCATGGTGCATTGACAATGCTTTCCATCCATAATTTGATATTTTACCTCACAGCACAATAATTCTTGTATTAAAATGTATAATTTTTAAATACATGTTATATGTATTTGTAATACAATCTTATCCTTTAATACCAGCAGTCCGCTATATGAACTGTACCTTTAATTTTAACTGCTCAAAGAAATAACTCTTTTTGAATGCATCAAACAAAACTTAGGTACATGCACAGAACAACACGAGCATTTAAAGCAAATAAACAAGCGTGAATATTTTCCCGCTTGCTTTTTGACCATTGTTGAGCGGGTTGTCTATGTGCCCTGATTTATTGCATCAAATAGAATAATAGTAATCTAAACTGCAATTTTATTTATTTATAATTTTCTTTTGATGCTTTCATGTACATAGAGAGCGTATGGTTTGACTTATACTGAAGCCAGCCACCAGGTGGTGATCAATATGTTTGGCTTCACCTTTCAGTGTGTGTGAGGTAAGCTTGTTTCTGACGTAAATTCATGTGAATGTGCTTCTTGAAATATGTAGTACATTTTAGATTTTTATTTTGTTCTTTTTTTCTTTTGCCTATTAGATAAACTTATTATCCTGCCCTCACACTAGTATACATGTCACCATAAAAGAGATGTTGCAAGGGATTAAAAGATTAAAAGGTTTTTCTTTTAATGCATAAATCACACTTAAATGTTCCACAAAAAGAGATGTCAGTTTAGATTTAATGATGACTTTTTCATGCTTTATAGAGCTTTGCAGTCCCCTTTCACTTTGAATAGAAATAATAGGCAATATTCTACCTATCATCTTCTTTTGCTTTACGTGGAAAGCCAGTAATAGAGGCCTAGATTGAGGGGTAAGTAAATGACACACATTTTCACCTTGACAGACTATTTCATGAATCATTGGTGTGATTCTATAGTGGCTGTTCACCCATCATCGGCCCTGGAGCAGATCTTTGCTCTTGTCGAGCGGCCGACTCCTTGTCAGTTCAGACAGTATTAGAGCAGCCCTGTCGAAACTGAGATCTGCTGGCCAGAATAAGAGTGAACAGACATCATTTGTAAGGCGCAGGAAGGATGTGTGACAGAAAGGCTGCTCGGTCATTGGAAACTTTCAGTTTGTGCATGTCTGTTCTGTTTCTTTCACATTGCATGGAGTAGGCCAGTTTTAAAGGATCTCAACTGCTTTCTGGCGATTCATGGAGGTGAAGGGATCTGTGAAGGGAAGTGCTGAAGAGAGCAGGGGACATTAAAGGAACAAATGAAGAGTTCTTTACTTTTTCTGGGCTGCATTCAATTAGTCTGAGCCTGTTTTCTTTTCTTCTGTCTTCACATAAGTGGTGTTATTGTAAGATGCATCTTCATTGGCTCACCGCGAGCTCCTCTGATCTGAAAGGTTCAAACAAAAGCTTCGTTTTCTAGAAGAGAATGTTTTTGTGTCTCTATTGAATTACTGAAGTGCTCAAGAATGGATGAGTCAGTCATGCGGGGGCATCCTTAGCTTCAGTGCAGCTTTTTATTCTTGCTGCTTTTTTCTCTCTGATTGAGGAAATTACTCAGGATCTTTCTCTGATTTGAGTCATGTAGATGTGTAGGTTTGTACTAATCTAGAGCAGCATTACTTCTGCAGTCGAAGTCCCTTAAGGGCAACTCGCCCAATACCACTCATGATGTCTGTCAGAGTAGTTTGGCCTTTGATGTCTGCTCTGATAAGGAAATTCTGAGCCACCATGAAAAGTTTAAGGTATAGCAGCCCTCCAGTGTGTCTGTTGCTTGATGTGTAAATCGGAATTGAGCTGGTTTCCTCTACACCGTGCTCTATCTTTTCTCTCTCCAGTAGCGATTTCCTTTTGCTTTTTTTTATTTTAGCAGCTCTGTTGAGATCTCTTATGTTGGGTTTTCTCTTACTCTTTCTCAGTAATCAAGTGTCTTTTTTTGTGTCTAGAAGCACAATATATTATATATTATTTCTGCTTATTTACATTAATTTATACATTGGATTTTACTACCCATTTTTTATATATGAAAAATAACAGACTTAGCATTTTAATAGGGGAATGTGTGTGTGTTTTTTTTTTTTTTTTTAACATTATTTTTTTATTTTTTTATTATTCTTTTTTTAATACATGTATACACTATTGACAGTGCTTCCCATACATAGACTTTGCTTGGGTGGGCCACCTAGGTATATTAACGGCCGCCCAAGTATATTTAGCAACATTTTTTAACTATTAATTTCATCCTTTTACACTATTTTGTATCCGCCTAATATAACCCAAATATCCGCGATCAAGTAATGGAAAATCCACTCTTGTTTATCCGTTTACTTCTTTGCGCACGTGAACTGTCAACACTCCCACAGACAGTCTCAAGTCTCATCTCACATGCAGACCCATGGAGATGCTTCTTTTTGGTACTTTAAAAATTTGTCCGAACGGGTTTCCTAAATTTTCTAAAATGCCCAGGATTCGGCTTTTGCATTCTAAAGCTGTCATTTATAAGTAGTATGCATTTTCTTTTTACTTAAGCCTACTTTCTCGTGGCTTTACAGCTGACTCTGTGCACAGTCAAGAGAAAAACATTAAATAATTCATTTTTGAATCAAAACTACTGCAAAATATGTTCACCCTTAGTTATGGTTAGTCTACGCATTTGCCTTAATTAAATGATCTACACATTTTAATCTTGTAATTAATATAACTTTGAGATATTGTCTCTTTTTAATCCTTTTACTTATTTATTTCTCATTTTCTGTATATTTTATTAACTTGATGGTGTCATTAGGCTTTAATACTTGCACATTTTATGTTTATCTATTTTATAGACATACCTAAAATGCTTTGGCATTTAAGTTTGCTTATAACTTGAAAGAGAGCGAAGCAGATTTTACTTGTTAGTGGTTGCTCATTGCGCCTAAATAGCATAAAAGAAACAGAAATAATGGATTTTTTTTTTTTTTTTACTTAACCCGTTGAAAAGATACGGTGTAAAACAGTGTAATAGTAAATACAATTACTGTTAAATTAAATTGTTTTGTTTGTAGCATATAGTTAACCACTCATGTGATGTGGGTAAATGGTGTGTTTTAGCCTGGCGTCCACCACAAGTGTATTTTGACCTATATGCGAAGCACTGATTGATTTCTACATAAATGCCTGGTCACTCCTTGTTTGAATAACCAGAGTCTTTCTAATTGCTCTGTCTTTTTGTCCCTTGTTTAGGCAGAAGGAGAAGATAATCTAAAGAAGATGCAGCTGATGGAGCTGGCCATTCTGAACGGAACATACAGAGACACCAACATCAAAGCGCGTAAGGGGATATGCACATTCACACAGCTACAACTAAAACTTGTTGGTTACACTTTATTTTGATGGTCAGTTTGTTGAATTTAAATAACGTTGCATCTACATTCCAACTAATTCTCATTAGATTATGAGTAGACTGTGGGCTTGGGTTTAGGGTTGGGGTTAGGGTTACGGTTAGTGTAAGTTGACATGTAGTTGCACAGTCTACTAATACTCAACTGGACTATTAAAATAAAGTGTTACCAACTTTTTAAAAATACATACACACCAGAATCAAAAGATTTTAGGGAATTATGTGACTAGCTGTGATTGTTCAACAGTGACTAAAGAGATTTGCTTAAGCACTTAAACAAAATCAAATGTGTTTGTAAGGGTACACACATCAAATACATCAAGGCCAACCATTATTTAACCTTAACTAACATGTAAATGCACACACATTCACATGCATTGGTATTTAATCTAACCATAAATGAGCATTTAATAAAAGCACCGAGCACTTGATAGTTCATCAGACACGAGTGTTAATTCTAGAAAGAATCCTGCTCACCACAGACTCCTCATGAAAACATCTAATCATCTGCCCACAGTCTAGTATTTCTGTCTCTCTTTATCCCTCCCTCTGTCTCTCCCTCTCTCTTTTTCTCCCTCTTTCTCTCTCCCACTTCCTTTCAAAGCTGTTCCAAATGCAATCACAACTTGCATAATCCTGGTGTTGTGGCATATACAATCATTTTCTGCATGATTGTGTGTTTTAGACTGTCTTCAGGTCATAAATGTGTATTACTGCTCAAATAGATTTGCATACATCTCTGCCCATTCCATGCATATTCATTACTGTGATAACATTTCCACAATGACAGAGGGTTTTGGGGCTTTTTATACTCGGTAAAGCATGACTGTGTGTATGTAAGTGTTGTATGGATTTATGAATTTGTGCATGCATATTTGGATGTATATGATGGGGGTGTTTCTTTATCAGAAACAGATTTGTTTGATTCTTTTTGGCTTCAGTGCAGAATATTCACAAGCTTTTTAATTTTCAGCAGTGATGTGGGTATTTCCTCTGCACATCTGCACTAAATGTCCCAGTGGCGTGTAGAGGTTTTGATTCATGTGGGAAAACTTATGGCAATATTATGGAATCAATTGTAGAAAGTCCAGTGTAGAGTAACAACCATAAGAAATAACATCACACAATGCAGTGAAGTGCTGCTTCCTCTACACGCCGCAGGATGTTCAGATGTGCAGCTTTATCAATCAGTTACTCTGTGTTGTGTATTAGTGCCTCTGTTTTGATGATCGGTTTGCCCTGGTATGATCAATCATCAGATTCTCCTTGTGTTTTAGTTTTGATTAATTTGATTTCTTTATGTAATGATTTTGGTTGTGGGCTTTGTTTTAGTTTGCTTTTAGAATGTCACTTTTTGTGGTTCATTGACCATCGCATGGACTAATTTTCCTTTATTTTTTCCCCACCCCCTTTTTTCCCCTCTTCTCGTGTACTTCTGTTTTCCTTTTCCTTGCCTGTGCTTTTCTCACTCATCTGTTTTTGGGACTTCTGTCCATTTCTATTTTTCCCTCTTTCTACTCTGAAAATTGTACACACAATCACACACCCAACCTCCTCCTATCGCTCTATCTGTTCCATTACTTTTCTCTGTGTGTCATCCTGTTTCTCCCTTTCGCTCTTTCTCTCTTTCACTCTTTGGTTTACGGCAGCCACCCTTGCGTTCTCTCTTGCAGCAGCGGCAGCGGCTGCTCAAGGCCCTCGGCTGATCGCGGCCCCTCCGGGTCAGGTCCTCCCCCCAGCCACCCTCAGGCCCCCCACTCCGGCAGGGACCCCCATCATGAACATCATTAGGCCCACTCAGATGGCCACTGTGCTACCCAATGGCACCCCTACCCTGGTGCCCCCGACGCCTGATGCAGGCATTATCTACACCACGCCCTACGACTACCCTTATGCCTTGGCACCCACGTCTCTGCTGGAATACCCCATCGAGCACAGCGGAGTCCTAGGTAAGCGGGCGTGGGGGCTTGGCACTTCACCCTTTGGTGTCCCGCAAGAGGGCACTCCCGGGGTGTTTTACGGGGGCATATTGGATGGGGCGTCACCCAGCCCTGTTCAGGACTCACTGAAAGGTAAATATGTAATGAGTAGCTCGTGCTAGCAGTCTGGGTAACCCAAGTGATTTAAGTGATTTAGTTACATAAATACAGATACATGTTGTGCCACTGAGACGGGCTGGGAAAGGGACCACTTACCTGTGTCTTAAACTAGCTTTATTTGTCCTTCTAAATGTATTTATTTATTTTTTGCTGCTGTGTAAGAAGTCTTTTCTCAGGACACACGCACACATTTGCTCTCGCAGACAGTGGCGATATGCTTGCTTGCACACATCTTTTTTTTTTTCTTTTTTTTTTTTCCTCGTCTCTTGCTGGAGGCTTTGTCAGGCAGGCTACTGGTGGATCCCCTTGGATTTCTCCTGGCTTTTGAAATCATTTCTCTCCTCCCTGCTGTAGAAAGCCTTGGTACCAGTGCCGAGCGCCAGAGAGTGAGAGAGAGCCCAGAGTCCCATTGGGGATGTTCATTAAATTCTTCCACTATTCTCACTGTATCCAATTGTCTTATTTTTACCCTTGTGAACTTGAGCGCCCGACCCTATTCAGAGAGACTTACCCATACTCCCCTACCTAGTGAGGGTCTTCTGCAAATGCTCACAAAGGAGATAATAACTACCACATCACAACCTTTTACACAGACTCATCACGTTTCATCAAAGCTATGTAAACATTTGCTGGTCAATTGTTTAAGTGGACATGCTGGTCAATAACATGAAGTCCCAGTGTTGTGCTTGACTAGCTTTGGCTTTTGATTGAATTTGCTCTGGTGATGGTTCACTGGATTCTGTACAGTCAGCACACTTGGATCTTCTAATGGTTCTGGGTTTTCAATTTTTTTTAACCTAAACACTAGCTAGCTTAGCAGCCTTTTATTTACTTACAGTATTGATTTCAGCATCAAACCACCCCCAGACCAGACCATGTTCTCCCTCACTTACACTCTCGTTCACTCACTGGGCTTCTGTGCAATCAAAAGTGATTTGTTGGACATCTGCTGTTGCAGCATAGCATGTGGGCGTACACATACACAGAGGTAAATGTTAGAGCTTCCAGAATTTCTCCAGAGGAGAATAAAAAAATTTGTCCTTAGCAACTGTTCTGTGATTTCATTATGCGATTTGGTACAGTTGGCACACCTTGGCAGGCCCACATGAAGAATCATTCAGAATGAAATGCCTGTCATCCTCAAGGTTTATTCCCCTTCCTTCAATAAGCTGCCTCAGTCTGCTCATGCCAAGAGCAAAAGAAAACAAAACAATGATGTCATTGTCATGTTAGATCGATTAAATACATTGATGTAGAATTATAGCAACGTATAAGGAATAATAGTACATTCTGTACCAGTATGGGTTTAAATTATTTTCATACCACGACTAAAAAAATTTATATCTGCTAGATTCACATCTGGAGTTGCATTTCAGGTAGATTATTATAAAATGTTTTATTGATTGACTGTAAAGAACAATCAATATATGGAGCAAAAGGGGACTAAAGGCATTGGATTTTCCCTTTTTTTTAGTTTATAGAAAGAACTCGCTTTTGGTGTTGAATAGACCAACTTTTTCAACTTTTATTTGTATAGAACAGTTACTAAACTGTCAAAGGTTATCCCCGGTAGATTCGTTCTGTTTTTAATTTCATTTTTTTCACTGAAGTGTAGTTGCAGTCTTTATTTTCCTTTTTTCATCTGGAGTTTTTACTTGAGCGTTCATGTGAGCAGAGAAAAAAAGTGTTTAAATAGTTTGTTGAAATGCAGCTACCTTGAGTCAGGTGCTGTCAGACATAAATAACAGGGTGTCAAAATGTCATTACAAATTGCTATCAAATGTTGATGTTTTCGCTATATTGATTGTTTTTTCAAAAAAACTGTTTTTTTTTTTCTGATTCCTTGCCCACCCGTCTCAAACTATTTTAGGATCTTGTGAGTCAAATCAATTACTATGTAATTTTAAGTTGCAAGTTATATTGTTACTTTTGTATGCTTTTATTACACTTGCATCTTCTACCCAATGTTTTTAAATTGTGAATATGTTCTATATGTAGAATCATTATGTGCATATATTTAAATGTAAATAAGAACTTGTGTGTAAAGCCTGTTTCACAGTTTGCCTGTTTAAATTTGAACTAATTCTCTTAAATGAATCAGATCACTGTAGAGTGTACCCTGCTTTAGTATAAGAGGCAAGTTTTGTGCTCTAGCTGTGCTCCACAGGCTTTATTTTTTACTGTTTGTTGTTTTTTTTGTTTTGTTTTGTTTTTTTATCTGAACTGAACCATGTCTAACCTTATGGACCTGTTGTAATCTAGGTGCAATGGCTACTAAAGTGCGGAGACATGATTCACGGGTCCATCCTTACCAAAGGATAGTGACCGCAGACAGAGGTTAGTTAGAAAAGATATTCCTATCTTTTTATTATTATTCCTTGTGTTGCTTTATCTCTGAACGGGGGATCTTACATTTGTGTATATAATTACACTGCATATTTTTGACTATGGATATGTGTTTACATAAAAAATAATGCCTCTGGATACTCTCAGGTTTAAAAAAAAAAAAAATCATGAATATAACTGAATCAAATGAGTTAAAGTAGTCTTATACGGTGGCACATTCCTTATCTCCACCTACAAAATATAAACTGTTGTTTGTTGTTGTTGCTTTATTTCCTGTTCAAATCATCTTAAGATACAAAGAGACTATTGCATTTGTTGTCAGCACTGGCTAAGTGCTTAAGTTATTACCTCACTTTTTTATTTATATATATACATTTTATTTTTGTATCTCAGGTTAAGCTCATAGTATTTGATATGTTCATCTCAAAGTGCAAATTTGTACTCCACACCCAGTTAAATTTAGGTACTATTTTCCAAGTATTTTTTTTATAGCAGATGTGTTTTTGAATACTGTGTATATACATTCACTGGCAAATAAAGAGAAAGTCTAAAGCGATATTTCACGATTTTTATCTGTTTATTTGCGTAACTTAGAAATAGCTCTCTGATTCCCCCTCACAACTAATGACACTGTTCATAACACGCATTTCGACTCAAGACACTAAAATGTTACTAGTTTTGTTTGTATGTGTTTTTCTCGTTTGTCCATGCGATACCTCTCTGCTTTTGTTTGTGGGAACACGGGGCATTTTAGTGCTTTAATTACATGTAATAACGTTCTGATTGAACTGATCATGATGTTAACATGTCATGATCATAACCAGGCTTAGCCTGTGTTTGTCTCTTGGCCATAGGGGGTTAAACAGAGATTGCATTCATTTTGCTGTTAAAGTGATGTCATTCCGGTCTCTTCTTGCTAACTAATATCTTTTCTACCTTTTTTTTTTTCCTTTTTGTTATTTTCGTTTTTGTTCCTAACCACCTAGCCGCCACCGGCAACTAACAAATGACCTCTGAACTCTGAACTCTTCACCCAATGATGAGCCGCCCAAGCCTGCCTGCTGATCAGATTAACTGGTAATTGCCTTTTGCTAGCCTGGTGGACGCAGAGAGAGAGGCACCTGTCCAAGCAGTGATCCTAACACAAACCAACATAAAACACAACAACCCTCCATACACCAACACGTTGTGTAGCGATAACAACGATGATATTCTTTATTGTTTTGTTCATTTTTATTATTATTATTTCTTTCTTTTTCTTTTTTAAATCTCAAATGACTGGGTGGATGTTAATAGTGATGTTTCGTTACCCGAAAACCTGCACTGAATTTAAAAGCAATAAAGAAGCGTCTTCTGCTAATTCAGCCCTTAAATGCATTTATACTCAAACTCCAGTAAAAAAAAAAAAAAAAACTTGGTGACCCTAGTTTTATCAGTCATGACGCTAAACAGGGCATCAGAATCCAGTTGTCTATCCGCTATCCCCACCCATTGAAACTATCAAAATGAATCAACAAAAGAAAAAGAAGGAAAGAAATCTGCACTCACACCAACTTGTGTATTTCCTGCCCTTCTCTGATGTAATCCTGTGTTTTTCAGTTGATGAGTTTTACTGTGCTGACACATTCTGGGTGTGCCTGTCCAGCTGACTTAGAGCATGGCTACAATGACAGACTGCAAAAAGCTTGTTTTGATTTCTTTGTTCTGTTACCTCTCCCTGTTTTTTTTTTTTTTCTTATATTTCCATGTAATCTTAATAGCGTTTGGCAATACGTGCAGGTGTATACGTGCTGTACCTGTGCCAGCTCAATAGGGGGCAGTAGGCGAGATATTGGGGAGAAGTTTTTTGGAGTCTTTAAATCTAGGATATTCAGGGTTGGACAGCTGGGATATGAACCGGAATCAGTTTACCGAACTATGCCATCCCAAAACTCTCAACCCTTCCCCACATACAGTGCCTGAACTTTCTAAAAATCTTTCTTTGAATGAGCTGTGAGATAAAAGACAAAAAAAAAGTATTATGTGTGCACATTTAGCCAAAGGGTTTCCATTTAATGAATTTCTTCTATATATATATATATATAAAAGTATGTATCTAACCGCCAAGGGTTCTGTCATTTTAGTCTAGAGTTTGAGAAGGTTTGATGTCATGCCTGCATCTGTTTGTTACAATAGCGAATCCTTAATGAAATGGTGATGAATTTTCCCATAAGACGCTAATTTCCCCGAGGATGGACAAAAGCATTGAACACTAAGGAAGATGAATGAGGTAGACAGAACTGGGGGGATGGCTTTAACTCACTTCACACCTTTTTCTGCTTGATTAATCCAAATTTTCTTATTTTGATGTCTCCCCCAACCCTTGTCCCAACTTCCAAAAAAGTGTTAATGTGAATTAAAACTAAACTTGTAAAATGCCTTCACAAACGAAAAACAACTCTGAATTATTTGGATTTGCCGAATTAAACAGCCCATCCACAATGTGTCCTGCACACAACCCCACCCCCCTCCCAATCTCATTTCTGTACACCCTCTCAAGAAAACATAGGATGTGAAAGCCATGTCTGCCTGTTCAAATTGCTTTATACATACATATATATATAAAATGTATACAAATGTATATATGTCATTGCATACTAAAATACAGAAAGATCAAAATTAGATACTTTTACAGGGTGCTGGAGAAGAAATATATTTTTGGCAATTTTAGCTTTTTATACTTAACTTGCAGTTACAAAAATATGAAACCTAATAAAAAAAATTAAATAAATAAAAAAAAAAACATTTGTAGAATAGTACAGCGAAAGGTGGTAAAGAAATGTTGCGTGATTTTTGGATACTATTGGCCATGGGGGAAAAAAAAGCAGACCAAAATAGTCAAACCTTGGAATGTCGGAGGAATTGCATGATGTTAAAAGAGAAGAGAACAGTTAGAGAGAGTTAAGTGCCTTATACCAGCGGTCGTTTTTTTTTCCCGAGTGTTACATTCTGTTCAATAATATCCAATACAAACTAGTGCGGAGCGAGCAAGGGAAGGTTTGTGAAGAGGAAGCACCCCAAGAGTTAAACCACGAGGCTGTTGCAGTGTTGTGCCACTGAATCTATTCTATGCAAAGGAATAGCAGTCATTTGACCAGCTAACTATGTGCCATGATTCGTCTTCCCGACATTAATTTGAAGTCTCGTTGTTTGATGTTTTTCCTTTAATCCCCATTTGAACAAATTGTTTATTTGTTCTTTTTTTATCATTGCATTATTCTTATATTACGAGGACAAAATCAGCAATGCTGTCTATGTATTTGGTTACTGTGATTTCTGTCAAGAACAACTGCCAATCATGATGATGTGGAAGTCTGCCAGGCGTTTTAGAATAAGGAGATTTCTCATTTAATTGGACTTTACCTAAAACCTCCTCTTGTTTCAAGACTTGCAGACTGGAAACTTTCAATCATTGCTTCAGTTTTTTTTCGTTTTGCTAAAATATACTGTTTTTTATGCCAAGGAAGTGTTTTTGTGTTTCCTGTGTTTTGAGAGAGAAATGCATAATTGTTTAGCTCACTTTGGGTGTTTCACAAATGCAAGATGTAGCTCTGCAGTGCACTCAACTGTGAAGAACACATAATGCAGAGAGAGAAAGAATCTAGCATTTATTAAAAGTATTAAAAGAAAGGGCATGTAGACATTTGTCTGCTGCCACATTAGTGCCAAACCTGAGATCACAGAAGAGCCGCAGTATCAAATAACACACACTTTTCAGTCGTTGAAACAACCGGAGGTGTTCATCACATTCTATAAGATTACACTCAGTTTTGTGTCCTGTAACCCTGGCAGCCTTCGGTGTAGTCTTGTTCTCTTCAGTTTTGTTACTCAAAAAGGTCAATGTCTTTTTCTTTTTCTCCTCCTCAGTGTTAGATACATGTTTTTAAGCATATTGAAATAATGAAATGCAATATTAGAGAGGTGCAGAGATGCCGTAATGAACACAGAGAAACGGACAGTATTAAACGAATGCCCTCTGCCATGTTACTACGTGCTGTTATTGTTTTGGAGTTGGGTTTTAGTCTATCAGGTGTACGGAGAAATCTCTTGTGTTCTCTTCCGCCTGCCTACTACATGTGTAATAATGTAAATTACAGCCATTGTTACAGGTTTCTAATGTATTTTTCTAACTTCATTTTCTATGTACGATTCATTTTTTTCTGATCTCTTTTGTGATGAAACCCACTACACACTTTTATTTTGGTTTTCCCATGTCCTCTCTTCTCCTCTGCCCTCCCTCTCGGCCCACTCTTTACTCAGATCTATCTCTCTCATTGGGAGCGTTGCCTTTTCCTCCAGTTATTTTTGTTTTTCTTGCTGATTCTTTAGCTTGTTTAACTCATTAGCAACTTATTAGTTCCTCTTGTCATAGGTATTTTTACATGCTTGCATTTAGTTTTTATGGTGTATGCTGTTATTTTTTCTTATTAACCTCCTTGGCATTTATTTTAATAAAACATTCTTAGTAAGAATTTTACTAACTTGCTGATATTATTTTGTGTTGTGTTCTTTTTTTTAACCAATTTAATGAATCTACTACCTTGGTCTGGTTCACGGACTAACACGATTAAATCTGGTGTGTGAACATTCTCACATTTTCTCACAAATATGCACATGTACAGACACACTCATACTCAAATGCATTTTCAGAGGTGCAGACACATTTAATCTCTCGATCTCTCTCTGTCTCACACACACACAAACACACACTCACTCTCTTCCACGCAGTCTAACAGGTAAATGTGCACGAGGCAGTCCGTCCTCCACTCGCTCCTGCACTCTTGTCGCTGTAGAAATCTTCCCAAGTGTGTTGTGCTGCCATGCCTTGTCTGCATCACTGTTCACGCAGTTTACTGGTGCTACTGGTGTTTCCTCTTTTATTTTGTTTGAAAATGTACAAAAACAAATGCTGCTTTCTCTTAAACTGGGTGTAATTGGAATTTAGATTTTTATAGAGATTGAAAAGGGTGAGTTCATTCCAAAATGTAAATTTGAGCTTTGCAAATATACACGCAAGAGCACAAATCAATTTCTTTTATGAAGTCTGAGATGTTTCTATTAAACAGTGTATTCACACAAAAATCTCTTCAAAATTCACCAAGAGCAAAGAGAATGGAGCAGTTTTATTTAAGTGTTCTGAACAAACAGGATTGTTTATTAGGAACATAGTTTTGGACTTTGTGGAAACATTGTGACTCATACCTGCTTTACATACATTCACTGGTTCTTGCTGAAGCTCAAACATGCTGTGTGTCGAACACGAATTAACCTGTTTTTTCACAAGTCATGCATGTTTGAGCTTCTTAACTTTCGGATCAATGTTTATATATAAAACAAAATAGGAACAGTGGTTTTTCTTTAGAACGCTTCAGTCAAACTGCTCAATATTCTTCTGTTTTTGATTTCTTTATGAATATTTTGAAAGAAAATATTGATTAAAGAGAATTTCATAGAGGGATTTTATTTGAATATATTGGTAACACTTTCTATTGAGCTGTGTAAAATTCTTGATGCATTATAATGTTTGCATGTAACAAACTACGAAAAAATGTCATATTGAGATAATCATACCAACAATTTTTTAGTTAAATCGTTAAGCAGTACTTTAAATCCATTCATTATTAAATTCAAATGTATCCTGAATAATTTCATAAGAATAAAGTTCTAAATTTCTATTTTAGAATTTAGTTAACCTCTTATTTTAGTTTATGTTTGTGTATTCATTTATATTAGGATACTTTTTAAATCTACATGATTTCCCCCAACACATTAGAAATCAATATATATATTTAGCCCCTTTTGTTTGCCAGGCAAAGAGCACTTATTAATGATGTTTTAGCACTTTATAATTGGGAACACATTTTCTAATTATCACCTTTGCAATGTCTAGTGTGTAGTTTATTAATATTTTAACTATTTAACTGCCTGCTCTACCAAATGGTTGACCATATTTTGACCGTTTTAAGTAATGACTGTTAAAGTCATTTTAAGAGTGACTTTTAAATAATGGTTTACACACAGCATTGTTGGTTTACAAAAAAAAAAAAAACATACAAATATTATCTTTTTGTTCTGTAACACTTAATTTTGGTTTCATTGTAAAACAAACAAACTAGAATACATGTTATTCTATACATGTAGAATATTTTATGGCAAAAAAATAAAGATTTAATTTTCGAAGATGTTTATTTTTGATGCGTTTCATATTTTCATATTTTTCATAATAAATGTAATAATTCTGGTACTAATACCATAAACCAACATAGCAACCATTTGGTAGAGACGGATATTTTAGAAATTTAGGGATGTTGAAAAAAATGTGATAACTAGCAACATTAAGAGTTAAGAAACGCAATCCAACGTTTTTCTCGGTGGGGCAGTTAAAAGGGTTAATGTAGTATGTATCCGTTTGGTTGAGGTGTAGGATTAAGGGATGCAGTCATACATGAAGCAATAATAAGCCTAGATAGCCAATCTAATAACAATAAGAAACATGTAGAAAAGCCTCCTTAATAAAGTTTTACATTTAAAAAAAAAAAAAAAAAAAAACAGCTTTGTTTTTGTCACTGAGCAGTAAAATTAACTACCATCAACACACCATAAAATATGAAAGGGGTATATTTTTAACTTGAACAAATTTATTAGTTATGCATGAGAATAAATAAATTATATATTAATACATTACGAATACTGTTTTAATCCATTAGATTTACAGGCTTTATGGAAAGCGTTATCAAAATATCTTTATTTGTGCAACAAATATGCACTAAATCCATGGGGGTTTGGAGTGTGAGTAAAGAATTAAATTTAAATTTTGGGTTGAACACTCTTTTTTTTCTTTAAATAATACAAACTCCAATGATAACTGGAAATTTGACCCTCAGGAATCATTGTATTTACTGCCATGGTCGAATGTATGAGCAAAGTAATGTCCATTCTGGCCCAAATTCTCCAGTGCATCTGTTCTTTCATTCAGACTTTATATATAGTTTTTGAAGGTCGTTTGACCTGCAGAGGCGGCAGCGAGTCGGTGTCTGGAAGGCCTGCTAGCTGTTTGCTTTCAGAGCATCTAAGTGGACAAAAATACTAACAAACTAGTCTGCCCTTGTAGGAACTGCTTGGATACTAAAGGCAGTGTCCTCACTGTATAACACATTTACACTTTTTTTTGTCTGAAGGAAAATGTTTTATAAGCACAACCCAATCACAATGTGTATTGAAGTGTTCGTTTGTTTGTTTTTTCTGTTCATTGAAATTTAAGTTTTTGCGCATTGCAACTGCACAAATAAATGTTTTTTTAGACCATCTTGATCCCAAGCTTCAGAATGTAAAACAAATGATATATTGACTGACTGAAGTTGTATTCATCTTCATTTTGAAGAGCGATTAATAAAGCCTTAATATTATATTAATAAAGGGAAGGTTTCTCAAACAAACAAACAAAAAAAGCCCTCAGGGAATGTTTTTCACAGGTTACAATCACCAGCTTTCAATTTGTTGTGCTTTTATTATTTTTTGATAAATCATTCAATTTTAATGCACCTGTGTTTAAAGACAAACTGAATGAGAAATGTATAAAGTTTATTAGAGCATTTAAGGAGTTTATAGCATGTTCATCCAAAGAAATGTAGCATTAAAAAACTATTGAATGTGAAAAAAACTTTTGTTTTTAATAAAAACCTTGATAAAATCTCACACCAAATTCCTAGGTTTGTGCTAAAACATTTAAACTGTATAAATACTGTCAGAACCTCCATTGATTTATTAAAGGTTGTAAATTAAAATGGATATTTTATTTAATAAAAAATACACATCAAAAAGGTTGAGAAGGTTCAGTCTATATATAGTTTCTATTTGATGTATAAAAGAGAGAATTTGTGAAAAGATGACCTGTTATTGATGTAATGTGTGAAATAAAGGGCCGTGTTTCCAGTGTGATGCTGTTCAATTGCTGTACATGAGGCTGTGTTTTATTAGCTCATTGCTTTGAGGACATCAGATCAAGCTCCCTCACTCTCGCTCTGCAGTTTAAATTCATGGCCTCGTGCTCAGGTAAGTTACATTCAATTAAAGAAATGCCAGCAAGCCTAAATGTCACAGGTTTATTTACTGTAGCATATACAATGAAGCAGATTCTGTGAGTCTGACCTGCAGGGCAGAAACTGATGCAGGTTTTTATGCTGCTTTCATCTGTGTGGGAGTGGGGGGGTGGTAAACTGATAAAACATCAGACGCTGGACACTGTTTCACCATTTGGGTTTTATTCACTCCATGTAATACATCACCTCGGAGAATTTAACCTTGTAGCTACAACCAATCTGATCTAACGGCAAAGGAATGCTTAAACGGTTAGTTCAAGCATCCCAAAGTGAAAAACATTTTATTTATCATTTACTTGCCTTCATGTCAATTTAGACGCCATCAGTTTATTCATCTTCGGATCAAATAAAGACAGGTACATCAAATCTCAGAGATTTATTAGTGTTTTACAATTTTGAGATCCTACATGAAATAAATGATGTCTGAAAAATTGTATGTGTTGAATTTAAACAAATAAAAATTAGTAATATTCTGCTTAATTTATTTGTTTAAATTCAGCCCAAATAAATTGTTTACAACCACTTACCTTTAAAAAAATATCTAGTCAATCTAAGAAATCATTTTTTTATTTCAGTGGATTTTATAATTTAATAATGGCCCTTCAAATTAGAGTTTCAACCCAGAACTACAGAGAAACTAAAAACCCAACTTGAGAACCCAGTTTAGCTGCTCAGACCATCAACAGAAGATGAAACAGTGGTAATATATGTTATAGCGTCACACTCAGCGGTGTCTCAGTAGGTCTGCTATCCTGTGGTCATGATTGTAATTTACCAATGTATCAAACAAAATACGGAATTTTATGTGTGTTTTTGTTGTTAAATTACATTGCTGAGTCTGTTGATAGATTTAGTTTCAAATGAGATTTCTTATTTAATATAAATATAAAAAAAATAATCCAGTTTGAATTTTGACTGAGAAATTAAGCAGAAAAGAAATTGTCCTGCTGATGTAGAGGGTTAGAAAAATATACCAGGAACTATACTCAGGATGACTGAAGGAATCAGAATTTTATTTTAGATCCTGTGTCTAAATTGGTTTTCAGATTTACATACAAAAAAGTAGGGCAAATGTATTTTGGTAATTTAATTCACTCTGCAATAAAGTAAACCGCTCTTAATATGAATGGCCATTTCAATCATTCACCAGATTTGGTAAAACTGCAACTTCATTTGGAGGTAAATCAACTCTGTTTTGAATGCCACAAAGCTGTTTTCATAACAGTGAACAGTTTTGGGGAAAGTTAATTTAGAAAGTAATGCATTACAATATTGAGTTACTCCCCAAAAAAGTAACTAGTTGCATTGCTTAGATACTTTTTATGGAAAAAAGATGTGTTGCATTACTTTTGAGTTACTTCTTCATATACCTGCCTGAGTTTTGATCTCTTTCAGAATTTGCTCGTTATTTTCTTTATAACAACACACTGTATATAACCTTCACCTTCATTTACCTTAAAAAAAATAAATAAATGAATAAAATAATCTCATTAGTTTAGTAAAATCACTGTCCATTGAGGCAATCCCCCTTTTCTTTCATGTGTTCAAATGAATGAGAATACTGCCATCATAAAAATGTAAGGCTCTGCCATCTTGGTTTTTCTCTTTTCTCGCGGGAAGATAATTTTCTCATTATGATTCAATATGATGTGTAAAATTAAATTCAACAAACTAATTTTTAAAAGTTTTTTTATTTTATCTAAAGTTTTGAATATTACTTTGAATATTTTCAAATATTTTTACTTATATCTTTATACTTTAAATATCTTTAATATTTATTTTTATGAGTAATGCGTTACTTTACTCGTTACTTATTATTTTTACTTTTCATTACTTGTATAACTTGCTTGTAATGTGTTACCCCCAACATTGTATATAGGTAATATTTTATGTGGTTTCTAAAATATCATAGAATTCTACCTTTTTTTTTGTACACAACAGTTGTATCAAATAAAATGTATATAGGAGTTTTGGCCGAACAAAAGGCTTATGGGTTTGAAACATGAAGGTGAATAATGGGACCGGGGAGTATTGTATTACAATCGGGTTTGTTGTTGTAACACTGTCCATTTGACCAGTCAGATATGGTGAAGTCATATTATACACTCCAAAGCTCTTTTTATGCATTTGATAAAAATTGTTCAACTGACTGAATTGAACCCTTCTGAGATCAGTACACACACACACACCCACACTTCATTATAAACACAGCAATTATGTTTAGTTTAAATTTTAAAAAAATAATTTATACACAGAGTTATCTACACACCGTTTAACAGAATAAGATTAAAGGGTTAGTTCACCCCAAAATAAAAATGACCTCATTTACTCTCCTTTGTGTGATTTTTAAACTGTTAAGAGTTTTTTTTTTTTTCTTTTTGAGCAATGCTATTCCATAGTAGTGGGGAAGTATTAAGTCCATAGCTATGTCTGAAATCGCATACTTTTATACTATATAGTACATTTAAAACAATATGTGAGCCAAGTAGTAAGTCTGAATTCATAAAATTTGAAAAACAGTATGTGAGAAGTATCCAGATGACCTATTACTTCCGGCAAAATTCTAAAGTGCGCATCTGATGGATGCACCGGTATCCTAAAAGGCACCACGCAAGAATTCATGAATAAAGGAAGCGACGCAACTGATGGGGGTCACGTGATGATGACAAAATGACGGATGTAGTACGTCTGAGTTCCATTCATACTACTGACATTCATACTGTATAGACCATTTTGAGGTATGTAAACAATAACAGTGGTCCTGATGTATTTCTGTTTTACACTTTTCATTTCCATTGCTTCTGAGAATCCAAATAAGTCCAAATATTCATAAAAGGCCCCATGGTGTTTTAACGTAAAAAAATGTCACTGAATTGCCTTTTGTTACAGTTATGAAATAGTTTGACAGACTGAAAAAAAATATTCAATGATGATTCCTTGGATTTACTACATTTTTTTTACGTTAAGTGGTTGTAAACAATTTATTTGGGCTGAATTTAAACAAACGAATTAAGTTGAACATTATTAAATTTAATTTGTTTGTTTAAATTCAACACAAATAAATTGTTTGCAAAAGTTTTGCATGCAACACTTTTTTCAGTGCAGCAAGCAAGAAATGTACAAGGGCCATTATGACATGACATCATCACATTGAAGTGAAGTTTATTCATAAACTATTTTCGAGAGAATCATGTATATTTGATTGTTTGCGGCTGGTCTCATATTTTCCAATTCATGATTCACCAATCAGAAAATTCCTAAGCTACTAAATTCTTTGTTCCATATCACAGCCGTCTTGGTTTTAAAAAAATCCCCCTTCCACCTCCAAATCGGCAGTACATACATGCACCTAGTAAGTAGTTATCGCTTGAGAACAACCACTATCTGTTCATTAGCTACTACAGCAGGGGAGATCTCGAGATCAACCTGAGCTTTAAGTCCCCTCTCACCTTGCGAACAGGAGGGAGCCCCGAGCTTGAGGATCTTACGAGCTAAGGGCTCTCTCCCGGGACATCATGCCAAACAAGCTTTATAATCAATCATCAGCTAAGCGTGAACTTGAAATGGTCTTTTTTTTTTTTTTTTTGGCAAAGTAGTACGTTTAAATTCAAATGCTGTACTAAGTAGTAGGCGATTTTGATGCAGCCCATGCGTCACAGCAACTAACATATTTCAAACTATATTCTTTTGTGAAGAAAGAAACTTTTTGAACCAATGAAATGTGAGTTAAGATGACAGTATTTTCATTTTTAAGTAAACTCCCTTTTAATCACGTAATCTGTGATTGTGTAGCCAAGCACAGTGTATCAAAGTCTGAGAGATCAAGCGGAATTAACTACTGTTAAACAAAAACCTTTTTCTTTCATTTTGATCCGTCTCCTTTTTTCTCCCCCTAAATAGAAGCAGATTTAATTTGTACATTGCCTCTATTAAAAAAATCTTTGTGTTTCGATCAATTAGTAAAGTTAAAAATGGATCTGAAACTCAAAGCACAGTTTGTGTGGCTCTGTTCCCTCGTGGCCCGGCTCATCTCCGGCTTACCCCAGCATCTCTCTTGCTCTCTCCGAGACTTTCGGTGTTTTGTATGACGGCGGAAGTCAGTTTTGGCCAGCAGAAGTCGAGAGATCAAAAGCGTGTTTGTAAGTGGAGCAGCTGGCAGCTTTATCAGAGAGAGGGAGGCTGTCGCGAGTAACAAACGAGCCCGGTTCC